TTTTCAGGCTTCAGTAATTTTTTCAGGTGGCGCAACTCATTTCTGTTCTCTGAGTATATGATACGCCTTCGCCTGGCTAAAAATATCATTAAGATTTCTCAGAATTGCTTATTTGATAAAAAAACTCTACTACAATGTACACATGATTGCAATATAAGCAATTACCACATATCCAATGGGCAACTAGGAATTATTGGTAGTGAAATCACAAACATCGCTCGATACATCTTATTTATAATTCACAATAGCGATTAAAAATATAAAATGTAATATTTTTTTGTCAATTAGATATTGGAATTAAAACAATTTATTTGATAACTTGAACTTTGAAATCCATCCAACAGATGAAATGAGATAATATCGAAAATGATTATCAGCTTATTTTTTAACACGCTTTTATTAGCTTCACCTGTATGTATGTATATATGTTTGTATGTATATATCTATGTATGTATGTTTGTTTTTTTGTTTGTAACTCTCAAGCTCGGGATCTGTATTTGACAGAGTTATCGACATTATTGCTTGATCTATTCGCGAGCAGATGGCGCTGTACGTAACTCCTTGATATAGCGACATTATTGCTTGATCTATTCGCGGGCAGATGGCGCTGTACGTAACCTCCTTGATATATCGACATTATTACTCGATCTATTCGCGGGCAGATGGCGCAGTATGTAACCTCCTTGATTTATCGACATTATTGTTTGATCTATTCGCGGGCAGATGGCGTTGTACGTAATCTCGTTGATATAATTCAAACTCACTTTACATGTATTTCTTCATTTGAAAAAAGTATTTTTTTTTATTAATACGCGCGTCTGCTGCCTTATTTGTAACCCTCCTTTGCGCGCCTACTTCCTTGGGCTTGGTAACAGATTTTTAGGCTCCCTGTCCGGAATCGGAAAATATTAATGGTCATTTTTCTAAACAATATATACGGCTGATTGATCCCAAACTTTAGATAAAATAAATATAGTTTAAAAAACTAAAAAACACTTTTTCGTATATTACTTTATACATCCGCCCGCTATGATCGTTACTGGCAACATTTCTTCGAAAAACCAGTAATTTTTAAGCATAATATGTTTGCCATTTTGAAAAATGAAGATTCAAAATTTAATTTTTCTCAATCATTTATTTCACAGAAGAAATTTATAAATTCTACAAGTTGATGACTAATCAGACTTTTCAAAGGTTTATATTATCCAGTATCTTTTCAGGGTGAACTTTTTAGTTTGCCCTTCATTACACTAGAGAGCAGATTCTATGTTGATCTATATTTATTTATTTATCAGATTTAAGACGGTTGAAATTCCGGACAACATTAAGGAACCCATCCACAAAATATAAGGAAGAACAAAAGTGTCCACTTTTGTCATTTCTGGATATTTTATAATTTGGAATATTTGGATTGTCAGCTCACTAGCGTAACCTAACCAACTTTACCAATAAAATAAACTGATAAATTTTCTATTCAATACCATATAAAACCTCCCACAAAATAATAATGAATACACCTCGTATGCATTTTTCACCTTTCAATCAGAGTAGGCCAGCCGTATCTAGTAGAACGAATAATATTGCATGGACACAGAAGCAAAACATGATTGTCAAAAAATGTCCGGTCCACTGTGAACGCATCTCTTTGCATTTTCTAGGAAATTGTCAGTGCCGTGAGTTGGGTTAGAGTTTATAAAATTAGTTTATTCTGCGTTGGCTTGCATTAGTGTCATAGTTTTCTAAATTGTTTTCTTGTTGATAAATTGGTTATTAAGACTTGTTTTCTTGTTGTTATTATTGAATCAAGATGGCGTTTTGAAAACCTTTTCGTGATGTTTGGAATGGACAATGTTGAGGGCTCAGTTGTAGATATTTCTACGGAATTTTCAAAGAAAGACTTGCATCTTCAAAGTCAAAGACATATTTTGCTTGAAAAGCAAGAAACTGCCGAAGTTCGGTAACTATTTAATTTTTATGCCATTCGAATCGACTTCGTAGTAGACACTATACCGTTGATTTTAAAGTCCGTTAGTTCGAGAATGATTCCATTTTTTATAATCACTAATAGTGAAACCTCAAAATATAAATGGATTTGACATATTTTGGATAGGGAAAAAATCAAAGTGAACATAAAAGAAAAATGAGAGATAGAACTTTATATGTTTTTCAACACCTGAGTACTTGAACAGTGATTTTCGAGATGTACTGAGTTGAACCTCAAAACGATGAGCAGCCACAGTGTCTCGTATTTTTGGTATGTACCGCTCTTGGTGCAATCAAATGAGCCAAGTCACTTGAACACTCCCCGTGAAAGTATCTATAGAACAGAGACAAATCTCCAACCTTTCTTCGATGTTCCAGACTAGCAAGGTTGCACGTGATGTCCGCGTCTCTAATCAGACGGTTGGCTCTTTTCTGGATAGAATCCAGCACCTTCTTGGTATGTTTGGGGGCAGAGCTCCATACATTAGAGAACATAACTCCAAAGAAGGTATAATCTGAGCTTTATAAAGCATTAAACGTTACTGAGGTATGTACAGTTTTCTGGTTCGGAACAGTGTTCCTGTTTGAGAATAGGCTGAACGCGAGAAATCTTCCAACAAGAACATCCGGCAGCGAATATCGAACATTCGCGCGCTCTCAGCTACGTCACAATAGGTTTATGGCTACCAGTGGCGTCCAGTGTTATTTTCTTTAAAGCATGATTTACAACACTACTCCCTTCCCTGAGGTCGTTCGCCCCGAACAACATTCCAAGAGGTGACATCAAGACCCATGTAAGGACTCAGCCTCTTTATGTGGACAACTTTAGGTTTGCTTCTGGGTGAAAATTCAATTCTATACACCAGATTCTTTATCTTTTTGGTTACCAGGTAAGGTCCTTGCCATGGTTTCTGTAACTTTGGACACAAACCTTTCCGACGTTGGTGTTGGTAGAGCCACACTGCATCGCCCTTCTTGAAACTCACCGGCAGCGACTTTTCTGTCAATTCCTATTCTCATCCTGCCGCTGGAAAGCTGTAATTTGGATCTGGCGAATTTGTGTACAATTTCCAGTCTCTCCTCCCATACTCTGGAAGAGGTACCTCTTGAGATTCATCGAAAAGACTGCCATACAATACATCTATCGGAAGCTTCAATTCCCTACCAGTTCTATTTACTCCGAAATGCCCTCCAGTGCGACCATCGTGGAACTGTTCAAGGATACTCGGGATACACATATTTGGAAGGATCATCTGGAATTTGTGGGTTCTTCCATCTGGGCTTTTCCATTTCCGAGTGAATTGGTCATCTCGAATGCACATGGAGTCCCATTGGAGCGAGTAACCCTTTTCTTGCTGGCCGTGCTTGGAATTATCATGCCTTTCCGGCCTCACTCCTTTGTCCATCTATTCTCGTACAGTTTTCCAGGCTGGATCCTCCTTCTGCTCTACGATGATATATTGCCTCGTCATGAAGGTAGTGTCACCCTCGGAGGCTGTTAATGACCGTACCGCACTATGGTCAAGTGATTCCTCAGATTTTCTGTCCATATCCCTGTAAAGGGACCCTTACAGGTTGCTACACTCTTGGTAAGAAGGATCCCTAAACAGCAGGAGGTAGGGGAGCTTATCTCTCTATCAGAGCTATCCATCGCTCTTCCTTCCTCCGTCGTTCTTCATTCTCTATCAGGCTCGTTTGCAAAGCTTCAAACATTTTCATAACTACTTCCACCTCGTCGTAACGGACACTCCTTGTTTCCACCATACAACAGAATATTTTTTAGTCAATTTTTCCACTTCCAACACCAAATGTTACGTTTTCCCCGTAGGTTAATCAATAATTGACTACACTGAACAATAATCAAACTTAACTTTATTTCACTTTTAATATAACAAAACACTTTAACCTAAAACTTCAACTATTATTCAAATGTCTATCGCCTTATTAGATCGCACCGTACGACACTGTCCGCGAAACTTGACTGTCTCGATGGACGAGTGGATGGCACTTATATGTGGCAATGGAAGGCGCTGGAACATTCCTCGGAATTCCATCGAAGTCGGTAGCATTATTCTCGCTACATCTAGAACGACATCAAACATTGAAGATTCGCGCGCTCTTAGCTACGGCACAATTGGTTTATGGCTACCAATGGCGGCCGGCGTTATTTTCTTTGGACTATGATTTACAACATCATATACATTTTTGTTACCGTACCCAGCTTTTTGAATGTGCCGAAGAAAAGTTTCAATATATGTAAAACTTTTTTTTCTGATTGATTCGGCCGTTACTTGATGAAGATCCATAGTAATTTCACAAACTACATTTTACGAATTGATATTCACAAACTTCATTTTCAAAAATATATCACGACATGTTTCGCTATCAGCAGTCATTCACTATGAAAAAGCTACTGTGATAGCGAAACGTGTGATATATTTTTGAAAATGAAGTTTGTGAAGATCAAATAGTAAGGTGTAGTTTATGAAAAAATATGTTAGAACTACCGACAGAAATGTTGCAAAAAGGCTTGAGTGAGAAAAAATAAAAGTGTAATTGACATATTTTGAAAAAAATCATTTAAATCATGAATGAATCTGTATAGGCTCGACATTTATTGCCGCACTCTACATGAAAAAGTGCGTCCTACTGAAAACACACGCAATTCATTTGTTTATATGATTTACCTTCATTATTTCTAAAACACAGGTCTGGTCTACAATTTTGTTGACAGGACACTCCTTTAGATACTATGGTCCAAAGAGCCTTGCTGAGGGCATAAATCCCAAAATAACTTCCTCGATTACGAGTAATCAATCACTCACCAGTCCTTTCTCACTTTAGAAACGGTTTTAGTGTGAAGAAAACTCTCATTCCCTAGAGTAAAGTAGTGAATGGCAATGAGTTTATAATATGCCACAATGATCAAAGAGGAAAATATAGAAGTGAATGATAAAAAATCAGTTAGTTCTATGTTATAATAAAAATAGTGATTTTGTATGTCTGAAAAATCTTACCCCAAACCGCTATCATTCGAATTATCACAAGGGTCTAAACTACGTCTGTAAGTGGATCTAACTTTGGCGGAAACTTCTCTCGATCTGTTCACCCCTGCACAGGACTTTCCACTTGGAGGCCTCCCGGGTCTTCTAGTAGGCCTTGAACTGACGGTTGGTGCGGTACACAGAGTCATCTTGGATTCACTCGTACCTGCAAGAAATAATTACAAATTGCGAATTAATTTCAACTCAACGACTTTTGAATTCCTTTCCATATGAAAAATGTACGAATAAAAAACTATATCTTAAGGTAAGATGAAAAAAATCCCAGCTGTTTTAACTTGTTTCAAGGTTGAGTCTAAATACATCATTCAAAATATTTTGATAGTTTGAATAAATGTTTACAACAAGAGCAGCCGTGCTTACTACCTGCCATTAGATATAATGATAATGATGATGATATTGATGGTGTTACTAATAATAGTTATAGTGCTTTCAATCTCTAAACTTGAGCTTTACAAGAGTACACACCCCAATCTCATCCCAATAACCGCTTTTTCCTAAAGCAGGTTCTTTTCAAACTACTCTAAGATATCACATTTTCAAAATCTCAAATCTCAGATGCTTCTTTTCAGAATATTGTAGCTTCTGAGTTTCTTTTTGACTTCCCCAACTTTGAGAATTCTCGCTGTCTTGCTCCCTATGGTTCAGAGGGAGGTCGTTCATTCGGATCGTCTCGTACAATTTTTATCTTTATCACCACTGACGGCCTCTGCCAACGACTAAATGTGGATAAGGAAAATGAACAAGAAAAGTATTTTCAAATTGAGCGTAGCATGACTATATTTGATTGGACGTAAGAGGAAAAATGTTACAAACAACTTGTCTACTCAATGGTTTTGTGATGAGAAAATGAGGGCTACCTCAAGACAATATACAACGCTAGCAAAGATATGATCAATCAAAATTAGTTTTCCGGACAAAGATCAAGATAGCTGGAGAATAGTTAATTTTAAATGTGGGAAAACAGCAGAACTGTACTCATAATGACGTATCCGAGAGTGACTAACAATTATTTTTCTGGAATAAATGAATTTCTAATATCTTGCCAGAGAGATAAACAACGAACCGACATAGTTTTTAAAACGATTGAACCTACCAGAAAACTCTTTCTTTCTTTGATCCTGTTACACCGAAGACGTTTATGTGTTACAATAATATTATGATCTGGATATTCATGATCTGACATCCTGAAAGAGAATATTACTGGAGTTTTTTCCCAACACCAAATCGTTATTTTTAACACCTCGACACGTATTTCGATCACCAAGTGATCATCTTTAAAGGAAGATTAAACTGTTAATCTTCCTTGTAGACCAACCAAATATTTTCCAAGTCTTATCTGAGTGGGAGGTCAGTGTGTGTGTTACATATGAAGTATCCCAGGGTTCGGTATTGGGACCTTTTATTAATTATATCAATGACTTATACTACCACATGCTATCTGCGAATTGACACGATTTTGATTAATTCTGACAAAATAATTTGCAACTTATTATTATCATCTAAATCTCCAATGGAAAATGCAAATTTACGGTTCACCATAAACAAAGTGAAAACTAATCCAAATAAAATCCAACACCTTAACCACATCTTGATTTAACAAAAGGGAAGAGTTTCACCATACTAAGTATTAACACCAAAGTATACAATTTAATTTTTTGAAACGTTTTTTGTTTCTCTTTGAAAAATCATACGTTTCGGAGCCAGTTTATAATCTTCGGTGTCGATAAGTTTCCTTTCATATCTAATAAGTGTGGCGTTTTATACCTAGCGGAGACTCAGTGCCAAGATTAATTTTTACAGTTAAAAATGATAAATATGCCAAAAGAAGGACCAGCCTCCTTTTACTCCCTCTCAAGGATAGAATTTGGAACACGTAGATGAAGGGGTCCTTTTATAACTAACCAAGGTGCAAAATACCATGTTTTATGTTTATAATTTTAGAAATGACGACAGTAAGAGTGTCTAAGTCTGGCCCCGTTTTCGTTTTGTTAGGTTAAAAAATCCCTTCTTATTTCTTGACTTGGTGTAGTGAGGTTTCTAGTGTTTAGCGTTGTTGAATGATTAATTTTTCAATATGGAAAATGATGAATTATAATGGATGGAAACTTGGTTCGTGCCCAACTTCGAGGAAATGTCGAGCTAAGCTATTGAGCCAATGCTTTTTGAAATTGAGTCGAGCACAAGCCAAATCTCTGCTCAGTAATTCGGTAATAAAGTAATTCGCTTCGTTAAGAAGCTGAATTTATTCGGTCTATTCAGAAATGTTAATTTATCAATGAAAATCCATGTAAATGTAAATATTTTTAGAAAATTAGTCAGCAACACTTGGCTCAACTAATAAAATAAACTAAAAAACACCATGGCCTGAAGCATCTTCATGAAAGTGTATTTACGTAATCATGGTGAGCATTTACTACAAAAATTACTTTTTTTTAACTTGTTGAACATAAATTATCAAATATCAAAATTCTATCTATTTGTATTAATGGTACAAAGTGCGGGAAATTTATTGAGATTTTTAGTATGGATTAACAGTGCAAAACTATTTGAGCTTTAAAAACTAACAAATATTTAGCCCTGAAGATATGAAATGTATACTGGCAATTATTAAATTATTGGCTAATTTTATGATGGCATTAAACGGTAGTTCAAAGTGCTTGTTACGGTACAAAATTGAAAACGTTAATTACTTAGTATTGCACATTCATTTATACATTTACTTATTCGAATAATCGTGTAAATTGGAAAACGTGTACTTGAATAATTATTTCAAAATATTTCCCCAAATAAACAATAACGGATGTATCACATTTGTTTCTTACTTTTTCCACTCACTTTACATGAGATGAATTTTGTTGGATGAACACACTGTATCTAGGTAGTAAACATTCCAAACTTTCTCTTGCAATGTCAGCGATACTTGGATTCAGCCGTACCGTAACGTCCTTGATTTAAATGAAGCAATTCAAGCCATTTAAATGATACTTTATCACTTTATCATCGCCTATTTGCGAAGATAAACTATAAATTCGTTTCAGACGAAAACAAACCTTATGTTTACCAGATGCAGAATAAACATTTAGGAAATCCTTTTCATTTTCGACAAACCATAATCATGTTGTTTGATGGAATGAATGAAGATTTTAATGAAAAGATAATGATAAGACTAGTATTATTCACATAAATTCAATTTAACAGGTCAAATTATAAGATACCAGCGATTCGACCTGGCTTTGCAGGAGTAGCACAGCATATAAGCCTACATTTTTTCAGCTTTAAGTTTGCAAACGATAAAAATGATATAATTCACAACTAACACATTCAATTTTACCCTAGCTACCTAAAAAATGAAAAGATGACACTGGAACGTAGAATCAAAAAAAAACCACTTTTCCCAATCGCACCAGAAACGCAATACTCTTCTCGATGCGTGTTTCACCAACAAAGTAGGCGTCTTCAGAGGATGAAGAAAACTAATTCGAAAAAAGTATCTACCTAAAGCCAACACAAAACAAAAAGGCGGCCCAAACTTGAAATGAAACCAACCCAATGGCAACCTTTCTCCATAAATCGTATCGCAGCCGTCATATTCACCATTGGAGTGAATTAAGGCCACCACTACTTCTTTTCTCTGAAACCAATTCTATACTTCTTTACACGTTGGTCGTGTAAAACAACTCCACCCATTGAGACATTTTAATTTTGTTTCATGAATGGTTGGGGAATAACAACTTTTCGCTTTTAGGTGGTAGAACACCAAATCACTTTTCCTTATGTCCACTTATGTCCACTAAATCATGATTTACAACCACGGTAACCATACTATTATCTTTCCACCGTATAAATGAAAGCAAATTGTTATCATATATATCTGCTCAAAGGAACCTTGTTTTTTTTGGATTGGTTAGAGGGCATATTTTGGTCTGTCAGCTCTAACTGTGCCAACAACTTTTTGTAATGGACAAAAATTTTCAGCAGATTATGACTACTGAAATTATCTAAAAACACAATATGATCTGAAGGAACAGCAACTGCCTCAATAAACCTCCGAACCTAATAGAAACTTTGGTGGAAATTCATATAAAGACTGGACCGGTTGGTTTTTTTGTCATCACAGTAGGTATCAAATTTGTAGTGATACCCAGACGCACTACATAACAACCAGTTTTTGCAGTCAAAACGAATTGACTTCGCTTTAATAAATTGTTTCGCTGGATGATGGCCAAAGTATTTTACTATTGACTCGTCCATTGAAAGGTCCTGATGAATTCCCCACTGTTGATAGTTTTGTTTCGAAAGGTTCATCAGAGGTCTCAATTTAGCCATCTTGTCGCATTTGTCGAGATTATTGTTATCTGCTGGAATATATTTCTGAAAATAACATTTGCCACAAATGGCACTTTGGCATCATTATCAAAACATTACTATGAACGCGGGGTAGCCGATGATATCAGGTTAGTAACAGGAATCCAACGAAAATGTTCATATCAATTTCTGATAAGAAAAATAAATCTATGATCATCATTCTGGGTCAAATATAAATCAGTCTGTTGCACTAGAATATTTCATGCTATTTTATTCCATAATATACCAAAATTTTAGAAAGGGGTCTTTTTCGACATTTCGTTTTTAACAAATTCCGAACGAACTACATGTGGAATTTTTTGGCCTGCTGCTTTTCATTCTAAATCCGTTGGACATTGTGATAATGGAATGTCCCATTCTAAATCATCTTCGGAATCCCCACTGGTACAGGGAAACCCATTCAAAAACTCCCCAGAAATTGAATGTTTGGGCTGGTACTCTGGGAAACTATATTGAAGTCCATTTTTTATTGATGATAACCTCAACGGACAAACGCATCTTGAACTTCTTGATACAACTGTGAACCCCAGAATCACTCAGTTACTTGAAGACGATGATAGTCTACTTGAAGGTCAGCTCACCTTTCAACAAGATAAAGCTCCTCCACATTTTGCTGCACCTGTACGTCCATTTTTAGATGATAATTTCACAGGGAGATGAGAGACGGAAGGCGAATACCAATAGAATGGCCAGCTAGATTTCCTGATTATCACCATTAGACTTCTTTATATGGGGTCATTTTAAATCCAAAGTTTATATTACACAGCCAAATTATCTTGA